TCACCAGGAGTTTCCCCTGCATTATCTACCAGTAGTTTTATAGTTTGAGACCTTAGGTTTAGATTTTTGATCCATTTTGAGTTAACTTTTTATTAATGGTGAGAGGTAGGAGTCCAGTTTCATTTTTCTACAGATGGATACCCAGTTTTCCCAGCACCATTTGGTAAAGAGATTTTCTTTTCCCCACTATTTCGACTGATGCTCTTTGTCAAAAATCAGTTGAAGGTATGTTTTGTATGTTTTGAGGTTTATTCTTGGGGTCTCTATTTTGTTCCATTTGTCCACATACCTGTTTTTGTGCCAATGTCATGCTGCTTTTTTTTTCCCCCAATGTCATGCCGTTTTGATTATCATTGTTTTGTAATATGTTTTTGGGTCAGGGAGTGAGATGCCTCCCACTTAGCCCTTCTTGAACATTATTGCTTTGGTAATAAGGGGATTTTATGATTCCAGATAAATTTTGTGATTCTGTGAAGAATATCTTTGGTAATTTGATTGGGATTATGTTAAATTTGTAGATTAATTTGAGTAGGATTGACGTTTTGATTATATTAATTCTTCCAGTGTCTTTCCAATTTTTTTGTGTCCCTTTCAATTTCTTTTTTTAGCTTGTCATTGTTTCCCTTGTAGAGGTCTTTAACTTCTTTGGTTAGGTTTATCCCTAGATATCTTATTTCTTTTGTAGCTATTATAAATGGAATTGTTTTCTTCAATTCTACCTTAGTATGTTCACTGTTGGTGTATAGAAATGCTATAGATTTTTGTATGTTGATATTACATCCTGCCACTTTATTGTATTCATTTATCACTTCTAGAAGGGGTTTTTCTTATGTAGCTTCTTTTTTTTTAAATGTATATAATCGTGTATAGAGATAATTTCACTATACTGTAGGTAAGAATGTAACTTAGCACAGACACTGTGGAGAACAATATGGAGGCTCCTCAAAGACCTACTGATATAACTACCATAAAATCCAGTAATTCCAGTCCTTGGTGTCTACACAAAGGATAGAAAAACCCTCATTTTGAGAAAAAAAAAAACACTTCTGTATCCATGGTTACTGCAGCTTTATTCACAATTGCTGAGACATGGAACCAACCCAAATATCCATGAACAAATGAATGGATTGAAAAAGTGTGGCACATATACTCTATGGAATACTACTCAACCATTTAAAAAAAGAAAGAAAGAAAGAAAGAAAGAAAGAAAGAAAGAAAGAAAGAAAGAAAGAAAGAAAAGGAAAGAAAGAAAGAAAGAAAGAAAGAAAGAAAGAAAAGAAAAAGAAAAAGAAAAAGAAAAAGAAAAAGAAAAAGAAAAAGAAAAAGAAAAAGAAAAAGAAAAAGGAAAAGGAAAAGGAAAAGGAAAAGGAAAAGAAAGACAAAGACAAGGACAAGGACAAGGACAAGGACAAAGACAAGGAAAAAAGAAAAAAGACCCTGGATTTTGATTGAAAGTGAATGAATATGGAATATTGTCTTCTATACCAAGCAAGCCAGAATATGAAAGAGAGACATTGTATGTCCCCACTTTATATGTACTGAGTATCTGCACTCTGTCTCAGAAACTTAAAGACTGGAAGATATGAAAGCATGGAGAACAAGTGTGGATACTAGAGACAGTGTGGGGGGGGGGTGAGAAGAAGGGAATCAAGGGGAAAAAGAAAGAAGCAAAACATTTAAGGGTCACAAAAATAGAAAATTATCTGTTGATAACATGTATGATAATATCTTTAACTGGACTAATACATAGTGTATTCTTCCTAGGAAAATTAATTTTATAAGCTGTAATGATATACAGTGATTGTATAAAATAACATTTAAGAAAGGGGAGGAATTAGCAGGCAAAAAATTCTCACAGTAACCTATTAATAGCCCAGGGCAGGTATAATTAATGTGTATGTTATCAATGATAAAGATAAAGAACTTGCCAGAAATCCCCCATTTTTATTTAACTTTATCTATTTATTTTTAATTTGACCAGAGAGGGCCAGAGCAACAGAGAGAGAGAGAAAGAGAAAGTGAGAAAGCAAGCCACCAGGTTCGGGATGCTAATTATGGTGGGAGTCCAGAAACCTTAACCACACCACTCACCCCATGTGGTACGTGAAGGAGCCAGATCCCTGGTGTCCTGTATGCCTTTCTGCTCTTCGATGATGGTAAAACAGCCTCTCTGGCTTCTGGTTCTTTCGTAGCGTACAGTGTCCTGAATGAACAGCAGCTATGATGTGTTAAATGCACACTTACTGACTGCCTACAGTGTTACACACTGAGAAAAGTCTTATCTCAGTCAATACCCACCACGACTCTAAGAGTTAGGAAATTATTCTGTCCACATGAGTAGATGAGGAAACTAAGGCACAGAGAGGTTAACTAGCTTTCCTAACACTCTCTAGCCAGTAAGTGGTAACCCAATACGAACCCTAGCAGTTTTGTTCTGAAATCCAGGGTCCTTTTCTGCTACCCTGCAGTAACTCCAAGCAGTGGTTTAAATGCCCAATTTTCAAACACCAGATATTTACTGGTATTTGTAACTATTTGTATTTATCTGTCATCCTAAAGATTTGACCATGAAAAGTTGTTAATAATTTGTCTTCTAAAATTATACTTTTTTAAAAAAGAAAATAATTTAACATATTTAACATTTAGTATATATTTATTGGATTGTTGGGAAAGTCATGATTCATTTTTGCATACAAGAATATGCTTGACTTTTCTGATGACCCAATATTATTGGTAACCATTCTGTGTGGAGCAGGTAGATGCTAACTAGTGTTAAGACACATGTGGGGCTGGACAGGGGTAACACAACACTCTGCAAGGCTGACCCATTAAGATCAATTTTTTAAAAAAGTTTTTGCCATGGGCACTTGTAAGAGACAGAGTGAAGGAAAGTAAGAAATCACCCTGCCCTGGAATGGAAATCAGAGACCTCTGATGGCTTTTTGTTTTCCACTCCCTCATTCAACAGATTCATTGTCTGTTCTGTGCCAGACACTCTGTGGTGTTCAGGGGGCAGACAGCCACCAGTCAGTACTTAGGCATACCAAAGTGACCATACCTTGGGAGGAGGGTGGTCTGGGATGGCAAATGGACGAGAGATGGTCTCACCTAAAGCTCACACTTGAAGAGGAATTAAGGATTTGGTAAGGGAGGAGGGGCATGTCAGGTAGGAGGGGTCAGAAGAGGCAGGAAGGCCTGTGGGGTCAGAGTGAGGCTACAGAGGCTGCCCCTGGGGTGGCTTGTCCGTGCAGCTGTAGGTAGGCCTGGAATGGATTTTAGGGGGAAGATTGCTGGGGGCTCTGAAAACATGGCCTGGGTATAAGTGTGTGGAACAGATTTCTTTTTTAAAAATTTAGCTATTTATTTCTTCCATGACACACAGAGAGAGAATGGGACCCCCAACAGGGTAGTCATGCCACCATCTACCCCCATCTCAGCCGGCTGGGATAACAGGTGCTTGTGTGATGCCCGGCATGTTAGAGCCTAGGATATGACCTTTCCCATGTAGGCTCAGTTTGCTACCACAGCGACATTGCCTATCCCTAGAACAGATTGTTTTAAGGACATGGTGCATACCATGTTTGCCAACCCTTGAAAATCTGACACCAGTTTTTCAGAGTAGATACTTTATATAGCATCCCTTGGCCATCTTAAAGTTTAATTACTCTTTGAAAAAAAAAATCGGTATGTCGCTTAAAGTTTAATTACTCTTTGAAAAAAAAAATTGGTATATCTTTTTAACTAGAATATAAAGGAAAAATAAAAGGAAAGTAATTTTAATAAAATAATACACATTTCAGATGTAAGTGTTGGGGCTTAACGATGCTAGAAGGCATAGTCAACAGTCAGGCATAGGCGTGCGCCCATAAGCTGGCTGTGAATGGGACCAGCACGAGTTCAGACTGATGTGGGAGGGTGGTGTGGCAGTAAGGCAGACACCATGATCGGACTCGCCTTCCAGGAGGTGATTTTCCAAAACTATGGACAACTCTTGATAAAGTCTGACTCTGACTAAAATGCAGTACAACCTCTCCCAATAGACACGGTGATTAAAATTTTGGAGAAATCATGTGCCATAACATGCAAGCCAATGCTTGGTATTTCTGTACAGAACAGAGGTAAGATGTAAGTGCAGGTTTCACTGACGTGCAGGTTCGGCGGGATCTCTGAAAATTGTGCATGACATTCTGTCGTTGTGAGATATTTCTAGTTCTCCTTGACCACTAAATGCCAGTAGAACCCCAAATTTTAACATAATAAATAAGTAAATATATAAGTGGCTTTTGTCTTGTCCCCTCAAGAACCACTGTTATGTTCTGTATTTTCTTTTTAATGCTTAAGGCCCAAGCTAGCAGCAGTCGAGCGTGATGAATAAACATGCTAGAAATTCTATCCCCACTGGGGCTGCTGCTGGGTCCTGAAGTGTGCCTCACTGCTGTGATGGCTCTGGTACCTGTGATACGGGTACCCATTAGGCCCACCTACCTGCAGCCACTGCCTCTGGCATGGACTTGTGACCATTCTAGGAGTCTGAGTCTCGCCCTCTGATTATATTGTTATGTTTTAAAGTGTATCTGTTCCACAACTGAGAGAGACAGAGATACAGCACCCCACAGAGCCCTAGTGCTGTGTTCTATCCCATGCCTGGTGTACTTAGTGAAGTACCCTGCCCCAAACCGGACCTGTCGAGTCTTCCTCCCAGATCCATGTGTTTTACCACTGCGCCACCAGCTCCACCCCCACCCACACCTGATTACAGTCTTCAGTGTAGGCCGTCTCTCCTGCTGAGGTCCGCCCCTCCTCCTTGGAATGTAGTCACCATTTATGCTTAATTCTAGGTCCCGTAGGAATCTCTGGCATGTTAGGCCACCCTCTAGAAAGGGCTCTTTGGATGGCGGCTTCAGTTTAGCACATGCCCACATTTGAGACATTTTCCTTGGCCTTCTGCCTAGGAACTCCTTTAGGTTGATTCAGAGCTCAGCATCTTAACAGGAGCAGTAGTAGAAAGGTCTCCTGGACCTGGCACTGCTGGTCTTTGTCACAAGACAGCCCAGCACTTTAACTCCCAACAAGGCATGGTTCCTACACAGGCAGGAGGGCTGTGCTCCAGCATGGTGCCTGACTAAGAAAGCTCTTAGCGTGTGGGCACCGTGATTAACATACAGAGTTCCCTTCTCTTCTGACTACACTAGAGGGTTTCTTTTGTTTTTGTGAGAGATTTTTCCCATAGGGTATGTGCACTTGCTGGGAGACAGAGACAGACAGAAACAAAGAGAGACAGAAAATGAGAAATTACTCCCCAGGACAGATGGCCATGCCATAATCCCCTCTCTTCCATTCTCCTCCTGGTATCTTGGGCACATATGCACACATACTGAGTGTGAGTTTCAAGCTGCCAGGTCTGGGACTCAAACTGTGGTTGGTCATGTGGGAGTCCAACAACATAACTGCTACATCATCGTTTTTAACTTGAGGACCTTGGGCCCTGGTATGCATATATGAGCTTCAGAGGATCAGAAAGTTCTATGAAAGTGTTGTAGATATGTATGAGGGGACTTCAACAAGTTGATGAAAAAAGTGGAATTACAGTATGAGTTTATTTCAGTGTAAATATTTTTTTAAAACCATGCATACCTTTATTTATTTCTTTACAGTTAATCACTGTACATCTTTACAGTGTACAACATGGCTTTTCCAATTCATGCATAGCTTTTGATAATGCATATTTCCCCTAAACTTTTGAACAAGACTCCTGTAGTTTTCCTGGGAGAAGATTCACAGCTTTCATGAAATATTCAGAATAGCTCATGAAGGATTTGTTTCTAGCAGTTGTGAACTCAGAAATCAGGTGAACCCACCTCTCAAAGATGAGAAAATCTGGGCAAAATATCATGCTTGAAGGCATAAAAACTCTTAATATAATGAATACTTCCCAGGTCAGGACCCAGAGAAAAACAGGAGCCATCAGGAAGGTGAGCCTATTATTTGAGGTTGGGGTATCTCCCAGTTCCAAAGCAGCAAGGTGCTTTTGACAGCATGTGGACTGAGGATGAGACTTTGAGTCTGTGGCCTGCCGAATGAGCACATCCTGGTTCCTTTAGGTTGGGACCTTGAAGAGATGCGCCTTAAAAGTAAGCCTGAACGGAAGTAGATGGGCCCTTTCAGGGGGTGCAGCTTAGTTTCAGATCATCTTAGTCTCTGAGATTGGATTAAGCCATCCTGGATTGCTGGTGTTTCAGGTCTGGCAGAAGCCTCTTTGGAGGGAGATAATATCATCTTGGTGCCTCAGATTTTTTTTTTTAATTGCCAAAGGGCATATGTGCTTGCCAGAGAGATACAGAGATAGAGACGGGAAATGGAGAAAGCACCCCCACCCCCATCCCATGGGACCCAGTAGTGCTGCAATCCCCTCTCTTCCATTTCTGCATCCTGTATTTTGGACATGCATACGTATATTCCCTGGATGTTCTTCAAGCTCCCAAAGCTGGGACTCAAGCCACAATTGGTTATGTGTGCTCTAGCTCCTTTAACCAGTAGGCTATAGGGACACCTATCAAGTCAAAAGTCTTGACTTTGCCCTTGATTCATCCTTTGTCCTCTTTCTCCCACCGTCCTTGTCTAGTCCATCAAGATGTCCCCTCAGTCACATCTCAAATCACTCTGGGATAATCTGCTTTACCCTGCTGCCTCTGCCTTCTCTGGGCTCTCAGCCACTATATTGCTTACCCGGATGCTGGTCAGAGCTTCCCACCTGGTGTCTCTCCTTTCCTTCTCTTCTCTCTTCCTGCCCCCAGGTTCATTTTCCAGAAGGCGGCAAGAGGGAGGAGTGCTAGAATGCAGCTCTCAGGGACAAAGTGATTTTTATGAGTGAGGAATGTGAGTTTTGAATGCAATAATACTTATGAATTGGGCTTCCTGTTAAAGAATAGAGAGCTACGAAACAATGGGATCCGCACCTTAGATACAGAAATCTGTCAGTTACCATGGCAATTCAGGAACACTGAGGGGGATGGCTACGTTCCTGAGCTAACAGCAGGAGAAGCCAGGGAGAGGACCCAAAAAAATCACTAGGTGGAGATGGCGAGGTTCTGGAAGATCTCCCTCACTCATTCCCAGCTTCGAGGGACAAGTAAGCCTGTGTACATCCCCACTTCCTGCCATAGATGCCTTCAGCTGAAACTTGATGCCCCGGCGATGGACCCAGTAAGGACACAAACCGGACAGCAAGTTCAAGGAACCAAGCCCCAGTGCCCCAGCTAACCGGGTTTCCACCATGTTTCTGAATGTGTAGAGCCTCACTTTCCCCACATTTATTTTCCATAGAGAGTTTTCCAATTCAGTTGTATATTTTACAAAACTATACAATGCCATACAAACATGAGGTTGCTGAACCAATATAAGTTATTAATAAAAACCCCTCTGAGACACCCCTTAAACAAAAAGTTCTTTAAATTCAACTGAAGGGGTGTTTTTAATTACTAGTAATTACAGGAGCAGCAGGTAAAGGTTATGGAAATTTCAGAGCTATAAACGTATACTCATAAGGTAAACACTCCTGAGTCTTACAGCAATTACAGAATTATGTCTCCAGCTTGTTGGGCCCCAGATGTCAGTCTTTTTCTCTAAAACTTCACTTCCAGCCACATTCCCTGATACCATCCGAAGATTACATGTAAAATGGGAACAGGCAGAATTCCATTAAGCAACTATACATTGCTGTATGTTAAAATCAGTGGGAAAATATTATTTCTCTTATCAGAAAGTGACTTTACTATAAAAAACTTTACTATTATGTATTTATATACAAAATAAATTAAGGGATATTTATTGAGCACTTACTTTATAGCCATCAACAAGATAGTTGAGGTAGTTCCCCTGATGGAGTTTACATTCCAGGGAGGGAAGAGGCCATAAGCAAATAAAGGAGAAACAAGATGGGGACAAGTGTCAGGAAGGAACAAATGCTGCTGTTAGAGAAAAACTGGAAAGGATGGATTTGCTTTAAGTGATGGCTACTCTGAAAACAGTATGGGACCAAGGCGTGGAAGGTCAGGAACCTTCCATACATACAAAGAGTTTGCAGAAGAAACAGCACTTACCTCGGGTACAAAACTGTACCCACAGCCACATTCCTACCAAAAGTTTACGAGAAATTCTGTCCCTTCACATCTTCACCTACCTTTAGTGTTTTCATTAGAGGCTGTGACAACATCTAGGCCATGAAAGTCAGTAAGATTTCCCAAGGGTCATTGAGCTCTGAGGTCTCTAATGTCTACAAAGCACGTTGAGGAGAAGACACTAGCAAATCAGGCTTAGATGATGAGAGAAGCATGTAGGGTATAGTATACTAGCAGCTGAGATGACAGCGTTTCCGCACTGGGGACTCCCTGTGGTCCGTGGGACATGCAGTGTGCGTGGACCAATGGCAGCACCCTGGGAGGAATTGATTGCTCAGGAAGCAGCCAAGCAGATTGACCAAGGAAGCATGGGAAGGGTTGCAAGGCAGAGCTGAGGCCACACGAGGATTGCATTCGGATATCAAAGCCAGTGCGCTCAGCTCAGTTGTCTGGTGTTCCCCAGCAGTGTCCAGCTGTATGGGCACTGGAGAAGAGAAGGGAGAGTGGAGCCACAGGGCCAGGGATTTATAAGGCAAGGCCCACAGTACTTCAGAATACGGGGCAAGCAGGGAGTGGAAGGTGTTTGTAAAGGGATCATTATTTAAGTTTGTCAGGGTATTTATGTGACCAGCTTGCAGTAAATGCATTTAGTAAGGCATAATTTCTAGATCGATCTATCTATGTCTTTCTTTATGTACTCTTATATATATGTTGTAATAACATGGTTTGAATCACTCATACTGCTGTTTCGTTCAGGCTTATTTTCTAAAGCCTTTTGATTTTGGTTTTTGGAAAACCAACTCTATTTTCCCCCCTGGAACTAATGAGCGAGCAAGCAAGAGGTTCTGTAAGCAAAAGTAAAAACTGCAGACGTTGTTATGATTGGACCTGTGTTTGGAAATTCTGTGAATTGTGTTATGTCAGCATCCTGCTCGTGGAATCGGCTATGTAAACAATGGGTGTTGGGAGGTTCTATGAATGAGCAGCCTTCCTTCTCACTTACAGACTAAACCACTGCAATTCTCCAGATTTCTGAGTGTTTATTTCATAGTAAAAGGGGCTCTAAAAATACCAGGCCAGTTAGATTTTTATTGTAGATCATTTCATTTAAACTGCAATGGGACATATAAATTTTAAAAAGAAAAAAAAGAACAACATTGAAGGCAGAATTTTTGAAGCAAAAGCTACAGAAATCTGTCTGCCGTAATTTGTTTTGGCTCTAGATGTAAAACTACAAAAAAGGATGGGAATAAATTTGTTCCATCTTTTAGGTTAGAGCAATTGGTCTATTTCATTGATGTTCGGAGGATTTGAATAGCACACCAGAATGCGCAAATACTATGCTATCATGGGAAAATTACATGTACCAACTTTTAAATTAAAAGAAACTCTTTTTTAGAACCTGGCTTAAAATAGTATTCATAACTTTTTATTTGTAACATTTTTTAAAAATTACAGGAGTACATCATACTGTAATTTTAAGACTCCAGAGTGAGATGAGAGAGGATTAGGATGGATTAGGCTTTAGTACAAGAGACAAGAGCCTGAGAGTCCATCCAGGGAAGGATTTTTAGTTGGGATTTGGGGTGTACATAAAACTACAAGAGAATGGGAAACTGTAGGAGGTAAAAGTTAGTAGGAAACAAAGAGATAAGCTATAAAGAAAATAGACCCACACTTAATCGTTTAGGACTGCCATGGTACTAGGGCCAATAAGATGTATTGATTATGAAGATTTGAAAGTATGGATAGGAACAGTAAGTACAGGGAAACAGATGTTTTGCATTTAACCAGACAGGAATGTCTCCCTTCTAGAAACTCCTGACCCCTTTGTGGGGCCAAGCGATGAGCGTGCTGGGCCTCTGGTTCTTCCCAGCTTCTCGTGTCTGCTCTGAGAAGCAGGGCTGGTGCTGGGGCGTGGTGCTTTGAGTATGAAGTCATGATAAGAGACAGTGACAAGAGTCTTTTATGGTGAGGACCGCATAAAGACTACCCACTCGTGTGTATCAGAAGCTGTGTTGGCAGTGACATGACACCTGCCTTTCTAGTAACCTGGTAAGAAGGACCAGAGAGAGAAAATGTGATCATATCTCTAAAATGGAAAAATGGAAAATGTTCAACTTTAGTATATGGTTAATAGTTGATTTGTAGGCAAACAGAATTATGGAACAGAATGCATGAAAGACTTCTCCCTTCCCTCTGGATGACAGCTTCTAGACTGTTGGCCTGTCTCAGAGAAATTAGGTCGGACTGGCACTGAACCATGGCAGCTGGCATTCACGTAGCACCTACTATAAGCCAGGTTGCTAGTGGGTGATTTACATACGTGGTTCCTCGCCGTCCTCCTAGACTTGAGAAGTATGATTTCTTCCATTTCAAAGGTAAAGAAAGAGAAGCTTAGTGCCAGTAAATGACTTTCTCTACTAGCTGCTAGTTGAACCTAGATGTGTCTGACTCCAAGCTGTGGGATGTTTCCATTTTGAAAGTATTCCAACTCAGCTGTCTGACTGATTTCACTACACACTGAAGCCCAAGGCTTGTCTGCACACTGTTTTAGCCGATTTGGGGCCAGAGGAAGCAATGACTCTAGCAAAGGTAGGGCAGCCAGAACGATCTGGGCTTTCCTCCGTACTGTCCTCTCTGGGTGGTTTTCCAATGCATACGAGTTTAGATAGATGCACAGTGTTTAGATCTATAGTGACTGAGCTGTGGTCAACCATTGAGTGGTGATCCTCAGACTACCGTGTGGTCCTAGGAGAAGCACGTTCAAGGGCCCCACTCCCAGGGTTCGGAGTCAGTGGGCTGGAGTGGGACCCAGGCAATCTGCACGGTAGGGAGAGCTCAGATAGCTCATGTTGAGAGGTACCTGCACGTCTCATCACTACAATAATTCATGTTGAGGTACTCGCTAGTTGTCTCACTACTAGAATCACCAGCCTGGTTTTCACACTTGTCTCCTTCTGGGCCTCTTTGCGCATCTCTTCTTTGATTGTGGTGAACCTAGAGATGATACCCTCGCTATCAGGAAGATGTAGCCAAGAGGAATTTGTGATATGCGGAGGGCAGGAGGTAGACCTTGCCCATGGCAGTGAAAGAGGAGAGGAGAGATTACAGGTGCCCAGAACCAGGCACAGGGGTCCTGGCTCTCAGATTACCCTCCACCATTTTGCAAACTGAGGCTTCAGATGCAGCATCTACTGGTGATGGTGGATGGGCTGTTAGCCAGTGTTTCATGCCGCTGCTTTCCGTGCACATGCCTTGCTTAATTTTGCAGCATCCTATGAAGTCAGTATTATCATCTACATTTCATAGAAGTAAGCTGGAGGTGCCTAATACTGTCTGAAAAAATCATCCCATGGTCATTAGCTAGGATTCAAAGTCTGTTTAACTTCCAAGCCCATGTCCTTTTTTTCTTTTCCTTAATTTTTTAAATGATCCCAATAGTACATATCTCATTTTTTAAAAAATCGAGCAATCTAGATATAGCAGCCTCACCCAAATTCATACCCCCTAAACATAATCTCTGATATTAATGGACTATTGATTTCTGTAGTCTTTGCCTTTGTGTGTAGAAATAAGTTCTTTTGTTTTATGTTTCTTTTTATATAAATGAAATTATGCTGAATGTATTATTCTATAATTTGCTTTCTTGATAGTAACTCTGAGACAAGAGGAATATTCAGAAACTATATTCCAAACTAATTTTTAAAATGGGTGTGTAAACCAGGACTGCTCAACTGGGACAGTTTCGTTCTGAAGGGATTGTCTGGAGACAATTTTTGGCTTTCCCAGGTGGGAAGGGGAAGCTCCCGGCATCTGGAGGCTCGAGGGCAGGAGTGCACAGGAGAGTGCCCTGCAGTAAAGACCAGTCAGGCCCAGCATGTCAGTAGGACTGAGATCGAGAAACCCTGATTGGTCTCCTCCTCACCTTAATGGCATTTTAGCAGCCCCATAAAGGACCTCAATAATAAGGAGTTTCTCAACACTAAACATTACTTGAAAGAGTGCTGAGTAGTAAGTCCTTTTTTTAAAAAAAAAAAAAAAGTGTTTTTTTTTGTTTGTTTTTTTAAGTTTTTGCTATAGGATGTGTGCCTCACCAGAGAGAGAGAAAGAGAAATCATTCCCCAGGAGACATGGCCATGCTACAGGCCCTTCTCCTCCATTCTCCTCTCAGGATTTGGGGAACACATGCACATGTGCCCAGCATGATTCTCAAGCCATCAGGTCCACGACTCAAACCACACAGCCCGCCATGTGGGAGGGATCCAGCTGCTTTAACCTCCATGCCATGTGCTGGCCCTAGTAAGT